GGGGATGGTCCCCACAGCCTTCCCTGTTCCTGAGGCCCATGCCGTGGGGCAGGGACCTCCCAGGTTGCTCCTTGCTGCTCTGGCTGGAGATGGGGCCAGCCCTGCTGCGCTGGGTGGGCTCCCCAAAATCCCTGCTGCTCATGCTGGCCTCACACGCATCCTGCTCCGTGCCAGTGCATGTGCTAAGGGCCAGCATCGGGTGACAGCAGGTCCCCGAGCCCACGATGCAGTACGGGAAGAGGCAGACACTCGCCTGAGGATTTTGGAGCCTGTGGCAGAGGCGGGGGGGGGGCCCCCCCCCCCCGAGCCATCAGCTCCGCCTGTCCCCTGCTGCCGCCTGCGTGCCAGCGGGAGCTCTTTGACAGATGATTTTAGGTTTGCGTCGGTCTCCTGTCGCTGAGGCTGGGATAAGCCTCCCAGCCAGCGGGGACGTGCCAGGATCCAGCCCCGCTCCCTTCCCCCCTCCCTCGTATATTAAATTTCACAAATAAAACTGCAAGTGAAGAGCATCTCGGAGGGAACTGCTAAAAATAGCCCTGAGGCTGGAGCCTGAATTGTGCAGGAGAGTTCACGTGCAGCCGCGATCCCTGCCTTCTCCCAGAAATATCCCAGGGCTCAGGGCTGCTTTATGGAGATGCGGGGAAGGGGAGCTGGGGGGCTGTGGAAGACGAGCAGCATCTACAGCTGGTAATAACTCCCAGGGACACCTAAATAGTTCCCTAGCTGCGAGCATCTGGCAGCTCTGCAGGGAAATAAGCCCCAAATCTCTGAAAGCCTGGGTGTAATGTGAGACACGGAAAAGGGGCTCTGACTCCCTTTGCCCGTTGCTGATCTCAGCCCCAGCCTTGGTGCAGAGCAGCACAAATGCTGTCCCGTGTTCTGCCAGCTGCCCTTGTCCCCCCGAGCCGTGGGGCTGTGTCTGCTGTCCCCTTTTCCCCCAGGAAGGATATGGCAATGTGTTTCCACTTGTACCCCCTCCTCACCCTGGAGAGGAGCCCCTGGAGATGATGTTTTTCCCGGTTAAAGGTGCTGACGAGGCTGGGGGGAGCCCGGCCGTGCCGTGGCCAGTGTTCAGGCTCAGCCAAGACTGCGTGATCGCAGCCAGACTCATGGAGACATCCCAGTGCTCACTGGTGTCAGAGTGAGCTGGAGCGGGGTTTGGGGTCTGCTTCGAGGAGCAGAGAGGTGCAGGGAGTCCATCAGCAGTGTGTCGTGGGGGCCTGGACAACGCTCCCCAGAGACACAACCAGCATCTTCCTCGCTATCCGGCGCGCAGGTAAATGCTCGGTGTGGGGTGTCCCAAAAATGCAGACACTGCAACAGAAATGTCCCTCCTTTGGTGGGGCCTGGCAGCACCCCGGACTGAGAGCACCCCCCCGGTGACAGCGGGCACAGAGAAAGCCCCAGCCCTGCCAGCTGGACCAGGGGCTGGCACAGCAAGGAGGTGATGTGCCCGAGAGCATACCCAGCAGCAGTGTCAGAGGAGGGAAAGGCTCCCTGGGAGGGGTCCTACCCTCCTCCCCCAAAGAGGTCTGGCTTCAGGGGGCTCCCACGGGGTGGGCATGAGGGGACAGATGCTGCTGGGCGCCGGGGAGGGAAGGGGTGACGGTGTTGCACCCAGCACACTGCAGGGGGGACATGGGAGGGTCTTTTTCCCATCAGCACCTCCCCAGAGCCCCGGGAGAAGCCGGTGTCCCTCCTGGATTCCTGCGACTCGGCCTGGGCATTCCCTGCCTCCTTTCCCGGGCTCTGCCTCCTCCCCTGCCTGGGCACTGCCTGCATCCCTCCCCGGGCATCTCCTGCATCCCCGCCTGGGCAGAGCCTCCTTCCCTCCCCGGGCACTGCCTGCATCCCTCCCCGGGCATCGCTGCCTGCATCCCCGCCTGAGCAGTGCCTGCCTCCCTCCCCAGGCGCTGCCTGCCTCCCCGCCTGGGCATTCCCTGCATCCCTCCCCGG